AACTGAATTCTACAAACAGCCAGTGAGCTTGGAAGGGGACTGAAACCTCAGGCAACACCTTGGTTTCGACCTGATGAGGTCTGAGCAGGGGCCAGGCTAACCTGACCCATGGGACTGGCCCATGGAAACTATGCGATAACAGATTTGGTTGTTTGAAGCTACTACATTTGTCGTCATTTGCTATGGAAAGAAGTGAAAATTGCTCAGTCGTGTCCAATTCTTTGTGATCCCATGGACTGTACAGCACATGGAATTCTCCAGGCCAGAATACTGGAGTGGGTAGCCATTCGTTTCTCCAGGGGGCATCTTCCCAACCCAGGGGTCGAACCCAGGTAAATGGATTCTTTACCAGCTGAGCCACCAGGGAAGCTATGGAGCATTAGAGAAATAATGAAGTCGGTTAGTCTTGTCACCTGCTCTCCTTGGGTCAGGCGCGTTCCACGTGCCCTCAGTCAGGGCTCCCCACGGCCCCTCCCAGACTTGTCATCCTCTTCTCAATGGGAGAAAACAATGTTTAAATTCTAAAATCATCCCCTTGGATTATTTTTAGTCACAAAATGAGTACCAGCTTGATATTCTGTTTTACTGTTAAATGAACAAAAGTGCAAATATTTTATTGGAAATTAATTATCCTTTGAAACTCAGCATATCAGAATATAGATCTGAAAGAGTCAGTTGACGGTCAGCTTTAGACTGGGTCCGGGAACAGGTATGAATGACGCTGTGGGAGAACTACAGTGCTCCTGGGAGGGAGTCCTTAACGGTGGGCTGTGAGAATCCCCTCTTGGCCCCATCAAAGTGTTCCTTTTAAGGAGTCACTTTTTAAAGATGGACTTATCTATTTTTGGCCGTGCTGGGTCTTTGGTGCTGAGTGGGCTTTCTCTAGTTGCGTCGATCGGGATCTACTCTCTAGTTGCTGTGCGCGGGCTTCTCATTGCAGTGGCGTCTCTTGTGGAGCACGGGCTCCACAATGGTACCTGGGCTTAGTTGCCCCCCATCATGTGGAATCTTCCTGGATCAGGGATCGAACCCATGTCTCCTGTATTGGCAGGCGGATTCTTAACCACTGGAACGCCTAGGAAGCCCAATGTGTTGTTTTATATCAACAAGTTTAGTGAAGATATAAACTGCCTATTTATCAAAGTTGTGGTGGACATAAGGCCTTAAAGCATAGCACGTACTTTGAGTAACACAATTAGGATCCAAAGAGATCATTTCAGGTTGAAGTGATGGTGGGCCACCTCATCCAAGCTGGACTTTAAGCTGAATAGGCATAAAAGTCTTAGTTAGGTTAAAAGACATCAATCTAGAAACTAGGCCTGGGGTGAGACAGACAGTATATGCAAAAACATTTAGATGAGTTGTTTACAAGTTGGCATAAATTGGTGCTATACTGGGGCATGTCATGGAGCTTATTCGAATCATGAAGTTAATTTTTGAAACTCTGTTAACTGCACTGCTGTGTACAAAAGAAGACTAGTTCTCCTTTGCTCATAGGGGTCACGGCACTCCTGGAGGGTTGGGTGGTTCTGGGCACCTCTTTAATGCGGTCAAAGACAAACTGCAATTTCTCCAGTGGGCCGGAACCAGATGAGTGAACAGATCTGAAATCACACATGATATCGAAGGACAATCTGAGAGTGGGTATCTACCTAAGGATTAGACTCCCTGTCCATGACTTTGGTGAATGGAAGTTACAGGGAATAGATTCTTACATTGAAGAAGTAATCACTGACATGTTTTGAAACCATACCAAAATATACCAGGCTGCCTTTGGGAATTATTGACCCCTCTGTGCCTGAGAGGCACGCTCAGAGGCTGGGGCAGAGGAAACCAGATGCATGGAGTCTTGTGCATGGATTGTCACCATGTGACAACGATGAACCAAAATCACCCACACACAGTTAAGAGGCTAGAAAGTATCATGAAAGGTAGAATACAGAAACTTACGTTGATGGTCTTCTAAAGTCAGAGGTTAACTCAGCCTGTTTCTGGGCAGAGGAGTGGCTCCCTGAGGCTGCCCAAATCCCCTGTGAAGGGCAACCCAAGCCAGATTCTTCAAGGCATGAGAAACTGCCTGTGGCGGGTGTGATCAGTGGACCCCCAGGCCCCATCACTGGGCTGGCGTCCCTATCCTCCAGCAGCTGTCAGCTCCTCACCCTGCCATCCTCCCCTGTGGCACTGTTCTTGGCTGATGGCACCTGCTTCACCCAAAGACACCTGGGAGGTGGTGGCCACATCCCCGGGGACAGCCCTCAGGCCCTGCCTGCGCACCCTCTGTCGTCCCCTTCTCCTCCCGCCCTCAATCTTTCCCAGCATCTGGGTCTTTTCCAATGAGTTGGTTCTTCATATCAGATGGCCAAAGTATTGGAATTTCAGCTTCAGCATCAGTCCTTCCAATGAATATTCAGGACTGATTTCCTTCAGAATGGACTGGTTGGATCTCCTTGCAGTCCAAGGGACTCTCAAGAGACTTCTCTAACACCACAGTTCAAAAGCATCAATTCTTTGGCACTCAGCTTCCTTTATAGTCCAACTCTCATATCCATACATGACTACTGGGAAAACCATAGCTTTGACTAGATGGACCTTTGTTGGCAAAGTAATGTCTCTGCTTTTTAATATGCTGTCTAGGTTGGTCATAACTTTTCTTCCAGTGAGCAAGCATCTTTTAATTTCATGGCTGCAGTCACCATCTGCAGTGATTTTGGAGCCAAGAAAATAAAGTCTGTCCCTGTTTCCAGTTTCCCCTTCTATCTGCCATGAAGTGATGCGACCAGATGCCATGATCTTAGTTTTCTGATGTTGCGTTTTAAGCCAACTTTTTCACTCTCCTCTTTCATCAAGAGGCTCTTCAGATCTTCTTTGCTCTCTGCCATAAGGGTGGTGTCATCTGTATATCTGAGGTTATGGATATTTCTCCCTGCAATCTTGATTCCAGCCTGTGCTTCATCCAGCCCAGCATTTTGCATGATGTACTCTGCATATAAGTTAAATAAGCAGGGTGACAATATACAGCCTTGACGTACTCCTTTTCTGATTTGGAACCAGTTTGTTTCCATGTCTAGTTCTAACTGTTGCTTCCTGACCTGCATACAGATTTCTCGGGAGGCAGGTCAGGTGGTCTGGTATTCCCATGTCTTGAAGAATTTCCCACAGTTTGTTGTGATCCACACAGTCAAAGGCTTTGTCATAGTCAATAAGGCAAAAGTAGATGTTTTTCTGAAACTATGTCTAAGACCTTTGTCGGCAAAGTGATGTCTTTGCTTTTTAACACACTGTCTAGGTTATAGCTTCCCTGCCAAGAAGCAATTGTCTTCTAATTTCATGGCTCCTCATAGCAAAATTCAGGCTTAAACTAAAGAAAGCAAAGGCATCTTAGGAGAGTGTAAAGCCCATGACAAACACAAGCTATTGTTCAGATATTACATTAAAATGCAGTCCTGTTCATGTTCAGCTTGCCAAATATTGGTTTGGCCAAACAGTTCTTTCGTGTTTTTCATAAGACTTTTGAAGGGCTGGGGTATGAACGTAAATAAGAACTGTTTAAGGTGGGGATGGTTTGCTCCCTCAGGGAGGGCCAGAGCTCTGCAGGAGTCCAGAGGAAGGTGAGCCCATTTCCTGTTGAACATTTCTTCTTTGGGCAAATGTTTGTCTTCTTTCCTGCATTTACCTCTGGCTTTGGGCAAAGACAGCAGGACCTTGGATAAATTCAGAGAAAGAATAAAGATCCTTTACCCCTTTTTATGCTTCATTGAGAAAAAGGGCCTGGTCCACTTACACAGGATTGCTGTAGGGATGGAGTCATCTCTTTAGAATTAACCCTTTGTTATGAGATTTAAGGATGTTCCCTTTCCAGTGGATTTTACTAGACCAGTCAGATGTGAGAACTTGACATTTTGGATATGGATCTCTGTTTTTAGTATTGATTAGCTGATTCTTTGATCATAATGTGAGCAGGTCCGTGTTATTATAACTGTACTTAGAGTGCCCAGAGCAGCTCAAAGAAGCTGGACAGACACAGTGAGAAGCACGTGATCGTCCAGGCCACCCATTTGGGGAATGGGGGATGCTCCAAGCTTGGAACAGCAGCCTCAGACAATCAGTGCCCCATGGCGGTACCAGATGCCTGAGACATAGAATGCTTTTCTGATAACCCGTATCTCTGATAGCCAAACTCAGGGTGAAACTAAAAAATACTAACTGCTGTCACTGAGCTTCTAATTTACTCAAGCATATATATATATATATATATATATATATATATATATACACACACACACACACACACATATATAAACTCAAAATATAGAGATGAAGATTTATTTTAAGAATCCTGACCCTTGAGTTCTGACTCTGCCTTCCTAGTCCAGCGGTGGGTCAAGCCCGTGTCACGCATGCCGCATGCCCGGACAGGCCACCTCCTGGCCTGAAGGCCTGGGTGAAACACCTTCGTGGCGCCTGCTGCCCTGCAGCCCCGTCTCCCCCACCGCTGGCCCTTTCTCTCTGCATCGCCCAAGCTCAAAAAGTGTGGTTTTTCGTCTCTCCCCAGCCCTTGCTCTTAAAGGCATATTTAATGATTATTGTGTCCGTAAGTATTACTGTAGTTCTTTGATTTCTCTAGTCACTTAGGCTGTGATTAAATGAACTGATTTCACAAAACAGAAATAGACTCACAGACAGAAAACAAGCCTATGGTTCAGTTTACTTCAGTAGCTCAGTCGTGTCCAACTCTTCGCGACCCCATGAAGCGCAGCACGCCAGGCCTCCGGGTCCATCACCAACATTTACCAAAGGGAGAAGGCGGGGAGAGAGAAATTAGGAGCTCGGGATTAACATATACACACAGATAAACAACGAGGACCTACTGAAGCACAGGGAACTACAGTCAGCATCTTATAACAACCCATAAGAGAAAAGAATCTGAAACAGAATAGATATATATGGGTAACTGACTCACTTTGCAACTAATACAAGTAAATCAACGATACTTGAATAAAATGTTCTTCTCCGTTCTTGAGAGAGAACGAACAATCATGCAGAGGCCTGGCCGTCTGCTCTTTCTGAACAGCTTGGAGAGGTGCGGCGCACGCGGCCGCGGGCTTCGCGGTCACTCCTGGGCCCGGATGCTGCTTCCCATCTTGCTGGCTCAGTTCCTTAGGCGCGAGTTTGATGTTCAGTATTCCAGTGGTTGCGGCTGGAGCGGGGCTGTGCTCCTGGCACCCTGGGAGTCTGGTAACCTCAGTCCCGGCGGCCCCGTAGGCAAGAATGGCAGCTCAGAGCTTGGACGCAGCCTGAGCGCAATGCGGAGAAACACGGAACAGGGGAGAATCGCCGAGTTCCCGAGAGAAGGGCCCGCTCCGCGCACGCGTGGAGGCCTGGCCCTCGGGCCGCGTGGTCCTGCCTCCAGCTTGCCCTGGATGCCCCGGACGCTGCGCTCGTCCAGCACCGCTGACCCGCCCGGCGCCCTGCCCGCTCAGTTCTCTGCGTTCACTCCCCGTGACCCTTCCTTCTTATCTCTGCGCCCCCTGCCCACGCGTTTCCGCTCTCCTTTGCCTCACTTGGCCCCGGCGGCTCTGTAGCCTACTGTTCTGAGTCCTCACCTCCCATCTGTCCGCTGTCCTGCGTGTGGTGTCTGTGGCCCCGGACTGCGCTCTCTCCCTCTGCTTTCTCGTTTGCAGACTGGCTGGTGATGTCACCCTGTGCATACTGAGCCAAGCCAGAAACCTCCAGGCCATCTCTGACTTCTCCCCAACATCCAGGTCTTTTCACGACAGGTTCCACCCACCTGACACCTTAGGTGCCTCCCCACCCCAGAGCCCTCATCCAGGACTGGGCTCCTCCAGCATCCTGGAATCCTCTACCGTTTTTTATTTTTTATTTTCCAAAAAATACACAAACCCAATCTGAACACGCCAGCTTCTGGATGATAGCTGTTCGTTTCGTGGCAGAACTCTCCGCGAGAATACTCGCGAGCCCGGCGTGGACCTCGGCCTCCTCGCCTGCTGCTGTCTGTCCCTCCACACTGCATGCCAGACACACCAACTTCTTACTATGTTTAGAGGAGGCTTTTCTGCTTTTGCACATACCATTTTTTTTTCCTCCCGAAAATGTCCTTCTTGTTTTCTCTAGCTAAGATCTATTCTTGTTTTGCAACTGTTTTATCAAGTTTTCTGGATTTTCTCAAGTTGAAGTCACTGTGCCTCTGTGTGCCCAGCTAAATATTGGCCCTGTCTCTATCATGACATCTAACCCCACACTGATTTTTTTTTTAAAAAATGCTTTGCATGACAGAATAATTTATAAATGGCAAAGCATTTTTCACAGACTTTCTCTCCGTGGTGAGCTGGAAAAAGCAGAGATATGAAAGAGCTTGTGTTCCGGGGCACTTTGGTGGTGGTTCTATTTTGGTCATTTTTGATCCCCAGGTCCAGTTATCTGCACCTTTAGCAACACGGAAAGTGTGTCAAATGCCCTGGCACTTCGGAGGATAAGAGCCTGGGCAGAGCGCTGGATGAGAGTGGACGGCCAGCTCTGTCCTCCGAAGTGAGAGCCTTGAATTAAAGACAGAGCGGCCCCGGACTCTGGGGGCTAGGGTTTTTTTTTGCTAAGAACAGTCTTTGTGAAACATTAAATACCTTTTTTAAGCATAAATTTAAGCTAGGAACTGCTTGACCTCTTTTTGTCTTTTTGTTTTGTTTATTAATTGTGGAATTAGGCCTGCCTGGTTAACCAGTGTCCTGAGCAAAGATAACCTAGGGGCAGTTGGCACTAGATAGTTCAGCCACTGGCTACAGGTTCAACCAGAAGAGGGGCGGGGGCAGGGTGGACTCAGGAAGTACGTATTAGGCTACCTAAGTGAGCATATAATCCTTGCATTTTCGAGCTTGAGAGGATCTAGCTTCTGCTGATGGCTGAGGAATGAGGCCTGGAGAAGTCCAGCGCCCAGCCAGACCCTCACCATTAATGGCTGTTGAACGCCTGACTCTTGTCCAGAATCTCTTCTCAGCTTCCTCAGTATACAGGAAGGTATAACCATGGCTTATGAAGTCGGATAACTGAGGGTACATCAATATAGCTGACTGTGAGACTGAGCCTTCACTGGGGGCAAATTAGATGGATGATAACAGTAATAGATGCCAGGAACTTTTATTGAATTATCTCATTGGATGCTCACCATAACCCTGTGAAACAATGTGTTCGCATCTTATTGCTGCTGTAACAAATTACCACAAGTTAGTCACTTTAAACAACTCAGCTGTGTGATCTCAGAGGGCGGAGGTGAGAATTCTGAAATGTGTCCCGTGGGACTGAAGTCAAGGGGTCTACACACCTGGTTCCTTCTGAAGGCAGTAGGGAAGAATCCAGTTCCTTGACTGTTTATGTCTTCTAGTGGCCTCTCCTTTTCCTTAGCTTATGGGCCCTACCATAAGGATCCTTCCTTCAAAGGATATCCTTCCAGTCTCTGCCCCCATCATCACCTAATCTTCTCCTTGTCTCTCATTCCTCCTGCATCCCTCTTCTGAAGAACTTGGTGATTATACTGGGTCTTTGTGATTGTATTGGGCCAGTTGAATATTCCTGGATTATCTCCTCATCATGAAATTCTTAACTTAATCCCATTTACAAAAATATGGTACTGTATTCACAGGTCCCTGGGACTGGAATGTGGATGAATTTGTGGGGCCACTGTGCAGAGCTGTACTATTCTACAACTGAGGAAATTGTAACTTAAAGAGGTGAAGTAAGTTCCATAGAGTTAGATGGTTACTAAGGACCAAACTCATTTATCCTTTACCACTATCTCTGGAACTGGATTACAAGGAGTGAAAAATAAATGATATGACTGAGCTCACAGTAAATATGATCTAGTCTTACTAAAATTTTAAACCAAAAGCATACTAAGCCTATAGTCTGAATTATAAAATATAACCCATTATAAGGGAAAAGGTTCTAAGCTTTTTTTTTCTTCTTTTTAAGGATAACATTCCATAACAGCTCTAGGTAATTCTTGCACTCTAATAGCCACCCTCCACTTAGTCATCTTGCTCACAGCTGTGAGCTGATATTTTAATTTTCAAAGCTTAAGTAGGCTTCGATACATTTCTATCCATTGGTAGTAGGTGGCCATTCTGTAAGCAGAATAAAGCTTAAAATGTTTAAACCTGACAGCATTTCTTCTTCATTTTTGAAGTCGTCTGCCTCATTTCTCTTAATCTGTTTCCTCTCAGTTGAATGACTCAAGTTCAAATTTAGTTAGCCATTCATCTGAAATGGATATTTGACAGCCTCGTGTCTACATTAGCTTTCCCGAGAAACTCCCTAGTTTTGTCAAATACTTCTCACAAAATATAGCTCCAAGGACTGAAGATGATATACAGCTGCAGTGAAGTAGCCCTGGGTATCCCTGAGATGTTCCCTTCTCAACTGCAGAGTGTACCGCTGGAGCATCGCCCTGCTGACATAGAATTAGTGGAAAGTTGGACAGACCAGCTCATTTCCAGAAAGACAGAAAGAAACCTTTTTAAACTGTCCTTTGACTGATAACCCACTTGAAATCCAAAGAAAGCAGCAAAACCTTCCTTTCCACCTTGACCCCCTGGAAGTGATATGTGGTCAATTTTGATGGGGTTAAGAAGGCCCAGTTTCCTTGGTGTGTGTATGTATCTCTCTTCTATTTTCTTTATAATTATTTACATGTTATAACATGTATGTAGGCTACTGTTGCTGCTGCTGCTGCTGCTGCTGCTAAGTCGCTTCAGTCGTGTCCAACTCTGTGCGACCCCATAGATGGCAGCCCACCAGGCTCTGCCGTCTCTGGGATTCTCCAGGCAAGAACACTGGAGTGGGCTACCATTTCCTTCTCCAATGCATGAAAGTGAAAAGTGAAAGTGAAGTCGCTCAGTCGTGTCCGACTCTTCGAGACTCCATGGATTGCAGCCCACTAGGCTCCTCCGCCCATGGAATTTTCCAGGCAAGAGTACTGGAGTGGGGTGCCATTGCCTTCCCCTGTATGTAGCCTATGAAACTTAATCATGAAATAAGTCTTCCATGGAACTAAGGCCCAGTTTAAGGAGTACAACATCACATTATGGTTGCTGTTGAATATATATAGAATGTTCCTTGCTCTTCCTAAATCTTGCTTCCCTCCACTGAGATATACTTTACAAGTTTTATATTTATCATTAGGAATTTTTTAAAGTTTTATTATGTGTGTTTATCTCCATAAATAATAAATATCTTAAATTTTTGCTTGTCTATAGGCTTTATAAACATAGTAGCATGCCTTATATAACTTCGTGTAACTTGCTTTTTTGTTCACAATTGTATTTCTAAGTTTTATCTACCTACTCCTTAAGGCCAGGATTTGCTCACTTATCCCTGCTGTATAGTATTCTGTTGGGTGAACATATCACTTTATTTGTTCTTCTGTGGATGGACTCTGGGGTTATTTCCTGTTTAAGGAGTTTATTTCCAGTGATTTGCTGTTACAAACAATGTTGCTATATGAATTTTCTTGCACATGTCTCTTGGTGCACATGAGTAAGGGTATCCCTAGGAATAGAATTGCTGTGTGAGAGGGCAAATGCATTCTTTACTAATTCAAAATTATTTTTCAAAGAAATTGAACCTCTTGACACTCCCCCTAGCATTGTGATAGAGTTTTGTTGCCCCATGTGCTTGACAGTACTTGGTAATGTCAACTCTTGCATTTTACCATCTAAAGTGTATGCTATTGTGGCCTCAGAAAGCATTGCCTTTCTAAGGAGGTTGAAAGTCTTTTCATACTTATTTACTACGTATGCTTCCTTTTGTGAAATACTCATTTCATCCCTCCATTTAGCTTTTAGTTCATAAGTGTGTGTGTGTATAATGTGGTCAGATATATTAATCTATTCTTTTACGCCAAGTGATTTTTAAATTTTGCTTAAGAAATCCTTCCATCCCTATTCTGTATTGTTTCTTTTTTTTTTTCATTTTAACTTCATATTTTAAGTCTATAGTGCATCCTGGAATGGATTTTTCTCTTTGATGGCATGAGATAGGGATTCAATTTCATTTTTTTTCCATATGAAAAAAATTACACTAGCGTGATTTCCCCCCTTGGTCTTCAGTGCTAAGGATTTCATAAATTAAAATTTTGATTCCGTGAGACTTTTTTTGGTCTTTTCTATTTCATTGGGCAGTTTGCTTCTGTGTCAACACCTCATTTTTCTCCCCTTGCCCCCTTTGGTTGTCCATTCTTCTGCCTTCCTGGATCTTTCATTCCATAATTCACTATGTCGAAGGTCAGCCAGTGTCTTAGGAGTGTCCTGACAGATGCCATGGTGGATCAATAACAAAATGAACAGGGTTATCTCTTGCTCATGGTGATTTCCCGTCATAGCACAGACCAGTAGGTTATCAAGTCCCCATCGCCACCAGGATAACCATGGAAAATGTGAGGAAGGGAAGCAAAAATATGTTCTGTCGCTCTTTCTCTAAGATTGCACTTTGCTTTCTTTCTCATATTTGCCAGCTTATCACTCTGTTGACTTAATTTGTTCCTTCTATACAGCTGTCAGCCAAGTCTGCCCCAAGT